CACCCACACCCACACCCACACCCCACACCCACCCACACCACGGTGCATGAGGGCGAGGGCGAGAAGTATTTCCGGTAGGAAATTCCGGAATCCCAGGAATCGTTTCCAATTCCGGAATTAGGTGAATGCTTTATTTATTAAAGTTACCAAGTTTATGAGAGTGTTTGTAATTCCGAAATTAGACGGAATTCGTAGGATTTCTGAGTATGACGGTCTCGATTCAATTCCCGGAATTCCGGGAATTGACGGAACTCGATTGGCATCGATTAGAGCTCTTATGTTAGATGATGACCAAGTTTTCGGAATTGGACAGAATTGATTCTGGAAGTGGAAGTGGTTCCGGAATGTTCAACATTGCGGAATAGGATGTATTCTCTGTAGGCTAGAAAATCGTAGAGATATAAATAATGCCTCTATCATAATCTGCTGTCATTCATTTCATTTTTCCTGTCTTGCTCACTAGGCCAACATGCTTAAGTCTTTTTCTCATCATCATTTCAAGGAAACAGCAGTCATAAGACATTTAGCAAAAGTATCCCACTGTTTGTTCGCAATCATCATTGCTTTTCTCCTACAAGAACTCTCTGTGAGCTACTATATTGATAGAAACATAATTTTCATTATTACAGCCTATGCAATCAATCTTTGTTCGGCAAGAAAGACAAACAAAAAAGGTCTACAGTCGCATAGTTTTCTTTCAGAATGTGTAGCGATTTTTGATGTTTTTTTTCTTAGAGTCGATCAATAATGCACAACTCGATGAACTACAAAAGCAACATTTTTCTTCCCAGTGTCAACTAGAGTGAAAGCGAGCGACGGAAAAAAAATTCATCAATGCCGTCATTATAAAGTAAACACTGCGCAGCTTTATCATGGAAAATAATAATGTTCGATTAGTCAGCTGGATTTTATCCCACTTTAGAAAAAAATTCCAAGAAAAAGATCGTTTTTCCAACTGATTGAATGCAATCTAGACATATAAAGCATCAGAAAAAAAGTCTAAGAATATTTTCCATCATTACAGTTTTTTTACTCAGAAGAAAAGAAGAAAATTCACTTGATCAACAGTGTGTATAGGCGCCACCCCTAACAGTAAGATTATCATCAGTAAGTATTACTTGAAACTTACCGTCATAGAACGCTGTGAGAATGCGACTTATTTTATATGACCTGATGCTTTCAAAAGAAATTTGGGTAGTGTATAGGATATTCATATCAGCCTTCTAGCTATCCACTTCTAAAGTTTGTCTTTATCGCTTTCTTACATCGTTGATCACTCAGCTTTCCCAGCACTATTCTCAGCTCAGGGTGTGAGGTGTGGGTGTTGATGAAAAATTGAAACAGCAACATCGAAAACTACACCCTTTCGTTAAGAAGTTAATAAGAATTTTCGTAGTGGAAAAAAGTCCAGAGAACAACATAAATCATGTAATGTTTGAATGGGATTAAGGCATTCAAAAATAACCAGGTAAATGAAAAACGACGACATTTGATTTTTGCGAAAGTTTTGATTTCAGTGCGTGGAAATGGCACATGTTAACATTGTAGGTAGGTGTTTCTTTGTTGCAAGACTTACGCTTCAAAAATGTCACGCCAATCTATAGGATTTTTTCTCACTGCAAACTGAACGATATTCTTAAAATGCAGTGCAATCGCAGAGGCTTAACATCATGAGATAAGATAATAATTCTCATTATCTTTTTAAGTGTATCTACCTGTGAGACTATTCCTGCTAGCATATGTTGTAATTATTCATATTTGTCTTTTTTTAGCTGAATTGATGTTTGTGCGAGAAACCATGTTAAGTAGTGACAGCGAGTGCGATTCAGATAGAGAATCTGAAGCTAAATATATAAATGGAGAAGCTAAACAAGAAACGAATTTATATGTTAAAAACTTTGGTCTAAATATGAACGAAAGAAAGTTATGCCAACTCTTCGCTAAGTATGGTACAATTACGAGTTGTAAAGTGAGTGAATCAAGAAACAAAGAAATATTTTGTTGCTTTGTTTTCAAATTAAGATTGTGACGGACCAACACGGTTGTTCAAGAGGATTTGCTTTCGTCAATTTTGCAGATTCATCTATGGCTCAAACTGTGAATATTCTTTTCCTATATTATATATTTTGAAACATTCAATTTTATTCATGATAGGCTATTGCAAAATTAAATGGCATTTCATTAGATGATGGAAAACAATTATGTGTTTGTTTTTTTAAAAATAAGAAAGATCGCGAAGAAGAACTACGAACAGCTTATATTAAATCATGTGAAGATCGAAATTTGTACATTAGTAATCTGGATGAAAGTATTGATGATGAAAAATTGAAGGAAGCATTTTCTCATTATGGTAAAATTACAAGTGCTAAGGTAAATAACGAAATATAATCAAAGAAGATATGATTCGTTTGAATTACAGGTTATGATAAAACACGGTCGATCACAAGGGTACGGATTTGTATGTTTTAGTACAGCTGATGAAGCAAATAAAGCGATAAATGAAATGAATGGGAAAGAACTTTGTTTAAAACCAATCTTTGTCACCATAAACAAACGTTCAAGACAAACTCGAGCGTCGTCATGTAATCGATATCCACCTAGAAGTAAATATTCTTCAATACACTGATATAACATTCTTTACGTCTATATTTATAGTCCCAACAATAAGAACATTGTCTACAGCGAGGAGTCAACCCCAATCTCAATCGTACTACGGACTTCAACCTCTAAATAATACGAGGAGACAAGTAACGGTTAATCGACAATATCCTCTAAGAGCACGATTCGATTAACATGTAAACCGTTCAAGAAGTCCTTCATTCAATGATGCAAATAAATCTTAAGTTTGTAAACAAATTCATACTGAAATACATGACTGTTAAATCCCTTCTGAGTTTATACTTTGTGATATAGTGACTCATAGGAGTTTTTCATGTGATCACTATTCATATATGTTGGTATTTTCCAAGTTTCATTTCCTTTTTCTTGATATGTGTTTTCCCACTTCATGTAAGTACTTTCCCAGTTCACTGTTATATATGTGTGTATGTGACCGTTCTTGTTATGAGTGGTTGTTCGTCTTCAGCTTCCTTCTCTTTCGTATAACTGAGCTACTATCTCCATTATCTTTTCTTCATTTTCTCATCTATAAATAAACTAGAGAAATTCACCTTAACTTTCAATCTTCTAACATAAATTTCAGTACGTAACATACTTATAACATAAACATTTTCGATTTCAATGCCATCCAATGTCAGATCAAAAACAATTTTGTGATCATAATATTATAAACCGAGACATTTCTAGATTCTTATCATGGATGAGTTTGGGTATGGGTGTCGTTTAAGATAGGAACTACACCCAAATCTGCATCCTCCGAGTTCTCAGATACGAAAACCCTCTTGGACATTTGTTTCCATGCTTTTTTGATTATCTTGAGATATTTTGACATTCGTATTCTTTCAAATTGTATCAAGTTAGTACGAATTCATAAGAACGAGAATTCACACTGGTTTTCGGGTTCCTGGGAACGGAATCTGAAACTGACATCTCTAATGTCGGCATGTGCACAAATTCTTTTAATGAAAAATATTGAGGAAAAGATTTAGATGAGTGAATCCATTTCATGCTTTAAGAATAGAACTTTACGTTATTGGAAAAACGATCAGTCCACATAATCTGAAATTGTTATTATGAGTAACTGTCTCTAACTTTCTGAAGAAATATTCATCGATCGACAAACCATTGTTGTTTTTTAAAGTTGAACCTGTCAAAACTTTTTAGCTTTATAAAATAAGCTATGTAACTCTTGACTTTACTGTAGGACACATTTTCATGCTCTTACAACTGAACTAAATTTTCAATGCTTTGTGCAACATTCAAATTCGTAGTCCTTGTTTGTAGTTTCATGGCAAGCCTATTGTTCAATCCTATGGCTAATAAGAAAGCTTGGAGTTTAATGAAACTTAGCATGCTAGAACAATTTATATTACTTGATTTTTAAAAAATTTTTCACTTATTTATGTTGAGTACGTCGACATATTCAAGACGCGAAATGAAAAACAGGATTTTGTTTTAGTTTAGGAAGTTGAAACATCTACTTGGAACGTCATTATCAAACGATAATCCTATAATCTTTCGATTCTTTTCTTTCATATTGCATCCATTGATCCGCCATAAATGTAAACAATTGTCACACTTTTCGATGTCATGCCTATGTTATCTAGAGTGTGGATGTGAGTGAAGTATGACTGTGGCTGTGTGGGTGTGTATGGAGTGTGGATGTGTGTTGTGTACCTAGTGGTAGCCACACCCTACGTCGACACTCACACCTACACCTTCAAGCCACGCATCATATGATGGCTTGGTTTCTGCTTATATATTGTAAACACACCCCAGACCCACACCCTTAATTTTCTCCTCCAATTTAAAACTGTTTCATTCAATACTTTGCGAAACCATAGTTTGGACGAATCTTTTGCATCTAAAATTATTTTTGCAACTATCGAATTTGATCTGAGTGAAATACGAGTGTGGGAAGCTTTTATTTAATCCTTTTTAAAAATTATTTGGTTTACTTATCAAGATACGAAACAAATTAAAGAAGAACTATATAGTTAGAGTAATCAATGCTCTATCAAATCGTATGGAATTAAAAAACTTATGACGTTTCGTAGAAATACAGCAAACTGGAGAAAACTAGTAAATATAAGTGAATCATCCTGTAGTCCATTTATTTGCCCTTTTGAAACCGTTCTTTGATTTGACATGCACCATGTATACAATTGTTTGTAAATGTCTTATAATTTTTTCCGCCTGCTCTGACTAAATCACCTAATCCTGAAGATTGAGATCCAGGTTGCATCGATGAACCATGTGGTGTCCACTTTCTTGACATATGATTAGCATCAACAACAACAGTCTGAGAACTGTGGCCAAAACCAGGTCCTTTATGAACGAGAAAACGTTCACCATTTTGCAATGTTGCTACTTGACCACGATGATTGATACCCCATTGATTCAATTTTCCGGCAACATCAAATCCTGCAATTGGTTGTACTTCTAATGGTCGACGATATTCTTGAAGCGATGTTATCCGTTGATTGTATAAAGAATTAAGACCTTGTTGATTATGTGTATGGGGAAGTCTTTGAGACAGAAAAAATGCCTGAGATGGCATTAGTGCCAAAAGTAGAATGATACCGGCCCGAATTAAATCCATTCCGAATAATAAATAGAGTACACAGTATCTATCTGAAATAAAAACATAAAACATATGATCAACAAAAATAATGGGTATTGACCTAAAACCTCAAAAAGCTAGAATAACTACTCTCGACGCTTGTGAAATCGAATTTTTCGACTCAACATTATGAATTACATAGAATCGCCGTGTGCCAATAAATCATAGAACAATGAGTGATTTCTATTTGTATTTCGAAGCTCTTATTTTCTGACGTGTAAAATGACACTACGACAAATGCAGCACGGAGCCTCAGAATTGTGGAAGAAAGTTTATGTTGTTTATGGTGAATTACAATAGTCAATCTATCCAAATAAGTTGTAGTAAAAATCGTATAGTTTAATAGTTGACGAGAGAAACTTCAAACCATCTTTTTTTTGTAATCGAATACGCTCGTTTTCGTGATTTCTCAGTGTCACGTTGTTTTTATGACCTTGATTAGTTGAGGCACAAAACATGTTCTAACATCTCACTTAACATAATTGGTATATTTATTTGAAACTAATAAAATATTACACAAAAAATCTTTCGCGAACTGGTTTTGTTATGAAAGAACCTTGCAACTAATAGGTTATTAAATAAAAATGACTATTTTTCTTCTAGTGTCAATTCTCACTTGGTGAAGCATTTAATTCATACTTCTTTCATTTGTAGTCTATGGCTTTAGATCGGAGACAAACCTTACCATCAACTGTATAGTCGTCAGTCAAGTCCCAAGTATAGACTGTCTGTTCTTTACTTGTTACTGCTCGTACATTGAAAAAAATCAGGTCTATTATATAGTACTTTGTTTATCATAAATCTACGAATTTGTATGCAATGTAATCTGATCGGAGGAAAAAGTCGAGTTTTGTGTTGAAGTCACTTATCATTGGCACTTGATTGGGGAAGAACCAGCATATTACTTCCTCCATGATGTGGCAAATATAATACTGTAGCTTTGACTCATACATACATAGGTGAAAATCAATCCATTAGATAACCTTTATCTCATGACATTGTATAGCGTATGAAAACAAAAAATATGAAACTTCTACTCATGAGTCAGACTAAGAGGAAGAAAGACAAATAACTTGTTTGTACAAATAATTACATCTCTGTTAATTGAACGACAAAATAGTTTGGATAATAGAATGCTCGAGGTGACAAATACGTTTTCTCTTTTACAAGATAACCAACGAAATGTTGTGTGACCGACTAATATCGTTGTGCTGTATATATTCTTTAGTGGGTGTGAGTGTCAGTATATTTGCTGCTTTGAAAGAGCAACACATTCATGATACTCACACCCACATCCTCAGTCACACGATGTTGTTGTGGTGAAATAATGCTTAAAAATACGGTAATTTACCAATACAAGTAATCAGTTCTGTAAACTACGAGAGGGCGTGGATCTAAAAAAGAGTACACCCACACCCACATCCAACAGTAAACATAGTATACCATCGTTTATATCTTGTACATCCTTTCTATAAATGAATTATGTCGTTCCACAAAAACAATTCAACTATAAAGAGCTATTGAAATTTCAATGAAGACCAATTGATAGTAAGAGTATGGACGAGTTTTAGTCCTTTTTTGGAAAGTTTTTCTTCGTGTGTACTAATATTACGGAAAAAGAATACTTGTGCATTATATTTACAAATGGTTTTGCATGTACAACGAAAATATTGTACCTGTGAGGTGTGGGTGTGGGTGTAGGTATGAATGAAAAGAGAAGGAACACCCAAACCCACATCCATAGCTAATATTCTATCAAGCTATCATTGTGGCTTATGTAAAATGTTTCAAGATTAAAAACTTTACATGTCAAATTCGACTAGCAACGGGAACAACAGTCTGTTTAGTTCTTTGAACCGGTTACTAGTCGATTGTGAAAAGAAAGTTAAAAAAAAAAAGTTTTTTTATTTATTGCTGCCAACTCTGACTTGATGAAATATACAAATTCAAACGTCTTTGGTCACATTAGATATTCTTCCAAATTCACACATGTTAAATAATGACTCAAGAGTTGGAAATAAACATTCGCGCTATGGATTTTAAAGCTGAACGTACAGTTTGTTCTTCTTGCAAAATTGTACTGTTTCTTTTTTTCTATAGATATATTGATTATCATTAGTTGTTCATCTAACATTTATTATAATTAATATAGTGTTATAAATTAAGTAGATTTATTGTCTCAACAGACACAACCTTCATAAAGAAACAAGTTTCAACATGTTAAGATTTCGTTATAACTCTGTTTTAACGCGTTAAGAGAGTATGAGCTGGTTAAAATGAGTGGATTTTTTGCAACTTACGTGTTTTTAGCAGTCTTAAATCGATTAAGATCTTGACTACGTCAAGACATGAAAATTCAAATTGAAAACGGGACTTTTGCTTGTTTTACTTGAACTACTTTCACTGTATTAAGTATTAACTCATTCATTTTTGTATCGCGTTTCAAATAATAGTTAGTTTTCTTAAACATTGTTAAATGTTCAGCCTTTTTGAAAGGAAAAACACATTTTTTATGATAACTATTTTGAAGCATAATAATATGATAAAATGATATGATCATTGCAACAAAAACTTCAATATATTTTATCTTTGAGTAGATAACAAAAGACTAATGATAATGTGAGTCTTTATTTCCAAGACAGCGGACATATTTGATTCATTCTTTGAATTATGAAACAACTACTACAATATACAAGGATGTGGATTTTTGTCGAAGAAAAGATTCACACTACTACAATTAAACACACACACCCATATCCTTTAATCATTTAATATTGATTTTCTATTCAAATTCGGCTTCATGAAGAGAAACATAAAAAGAGATGTTATTTAAAATGAATTAATTCGAATTTCTGTTTCAAATTACTAAAAAAAAGAGCTTGCTGATTGTGATCTTCAGCTGTATAAAGTATAGAAAACAGATGTGTTCATAGTTGATATATATGTGAAAGGATGTCCGATCACTGTCACAGTTTGATTTCATTCATAAACAAAGAATTTTTCTAATTTATCATTACAAAATGTCTTGTTAAACAATAGAAAGTCATGGTCAATAAGAAAGAAGTTAAGAATATCTGCTTTATTTTATATAAGCAACTACGAAGTCATATAATGACTAAAAATAAAAATAAAAGAAATAATGATAATATGAATCATTCTGAGATAATTTATTTTTTTTCCTTCCTCTTATCAAAGAAAAAAAAAGAAATATATAAAAAAATTGCGAAATTTCTTTCGGCAATAGTAAAATACAATGAAGTTGAATTATAAAAACTATCCGTACCGGAATTTGATCATTTTATTCAATTATATCGTAATATTGATTCAACTCGATGGAGATTTAATTTTGTCGACATCGCCAAGAAAAAAGATAAAACTGTCAAAAAATCAAGAATTGAGAAAAAGTGAATACAATTTTATAGTTCGTTTTCCAGTCATCAGTAAGGAATAGATTTGGTATGTGATACATTTTCTTTTGGAGTGAGAAAATCATTCTCTTTCTAATGAAATCTACTTTTGAATCCAAAAAAATTAGAAATCTTCTCTCTAACACGACTTTGACGAATGAAAGACATACATTTATTTGCATATTAAGAATTCTTCTTTTCGTTAGAGTCAATTATCTTTTCAATATTTTTGAAAAAGAATCATTTTCAAAGAAAAAATTTTTCTACAAATCTCATCAAAGTTTTTCCAGAAATCTTGTCAGAACCGATAGAACTTGCTGATTAAAATACATCATATAACTCCTAGAGTAACAGGAATATACTTTTCAATGACTATTTGCTATTTTGACATATGATAACTAAATATAAATCGCTGAAAAATTGAGAGTTTCTGAAAACTAATAAAATACTGGTCAAAAAGAACTTTCTTGTGCACAATCACAATCGATTTTCTGAGTGAACGTGTCCCTTAAGCGTATGAGATGGAATGCATTTGGTGTAGTGTGAAAACAAAGAGTATCGTTTCATCTTAAGTCAAAGCTGTAGATTTCATGCAACAAGTGACTATAAATTTAGTAGCAAATGTAGAGTATATCAGCTATAATGGCACAGTTTGAGTTTTTTCTGAATTTTACAACAGATTTGGGTGTGGGTGTGGATATTCCTTCTATCTACACCCACACCCACATCCACACCCACACCCCCACACCCACCCACACCCACACCCTTCTCATAACTCAACAACTGAATACTGGAACATCAAACCAAAACAGACTTTTTCGTTACCCATTAAGATCGATTAAAATGGCAGTAGTCTCCTGGACTCTGTATCAGGACGTTTAACCAAAAACTGGACACAAATACTTTTTTCTGGTTGCCCCTATACATTTTTCAGTCTACTATCGATCTGCAGTCATAGGATTCATTGCATACGTCATATCAATGCTGACAATATATACAAATTTGAGACCAAATTTTAAAATACTTTCATTTTTTTATTGACAATAAGGCCACATTAAAAAAAATCTATCCATTTTGTAGTTGCTGATGAGACATGTCGAATCAAGTCTATGATTGGATATTTACAGAAGAAAGTATTTACATCTGGTCTCTGTAAATCGTTTAACGTTTATGATTGGAATTCAGATATTACATATAAAAATAATTCAACTAATACAATCAAGCAACTTTCTTTTGAATCATTTCTTATTTAGGTAAATAAATTTATGGAAATATATAAATCACAAGAAAATGCCTTAGTAAAAAAACATCATGTACAAAATAATTTAGAGAAAAAATTATGTATAACAACAACTGATCTTTCTCAATTACTTAATCATGTTCTTAAACTTGATCGTCTTAAACGAATCATTGATATGATGGCAACAATTAAAAATTATATACATTTACATCCAATAAATACATTCAATGCACTCAAAGTATTGAAACTTGAATGTAAATATGATTTATTTATTTTAGTAAAGAAAAAAAAAAAAACTTCTATTTGTAGTCGATTTTAATAATTATGATATGAAATTTTTACGTGATTTAAAACTATTAAGTGATACATGATATAAAAGATATTTATTATTACAAACAAATGAAATATTAGATTGGAACATAAGTTCTGAGCGTTCTTTTTTTGT